AAAGTTTTGGAAAATACAGTAGAACAGTTGACAAAATTCTGACGAATAGGTCGCTCTGGTTAACATATGTAATGGTTTTTTCAAACCAGATGTTTTCGTTATCAGTGAATTGATACCAATTCGCGAAAATGCAGCCAACGAAACTGAAAACAAAATGGTGAATAAGCTGAATGAACTCATCCAGAGTATTTATGGCAATAAAAATGAAGAAAATTATTGTTTTTGGGCAAAAAATTATGATTCGCAAGACTTCGAATTTTCACCTGACTGTACCAAGACAACATGCATCTCAATTGTATATCTGGGTTATTTACACTGCGGTATAACCTTCTGTCGGTTCAATTGAAGTTCTCGAATGTTTTCAGAGACGCATCACAGAGGTAAATGAAATCGAACACAAAATTTCACAGCTACTAGCGCGAATTCGACTTTCATTAATATAATGCCCATCACAATGCCTACCAAAATTTTCACTCTTGGAATAGTAACTAAATCTCAAATTATAGTCATTAGGCAAACAATCGCAACTAGCAGAGTTATACCTGTTGTTCTTCTTTAAAGGCTATTACATGATTTTTACCTGACGCTTTTGTTCTTTTATTCAGGTATTACAATTAATCCATGTCTGTTTTCTGTACTGTCATTTACAGGGCTAAGAATGAATTAAACTTTTCCGAAGCCCTCGGTCTCACTTTCTGTAATTACAGCACCTATTAAGTCTTAGAGCAAGAAGAACTTTAGAATAAGGCTTAGCTTTATTTGCAAAAAGGATTTCCGTTTTTGGAAGGCTGGCTGATTTTTTACCTTTTTTGAATACTTCCCTCAGGTGACATGGAACATATAAATATCCCAGATACAAATTGTAAAACTTTGAACGGTGTAATGTCTTCGATAAAAACTCAAAATTATTTCATATGAATTGCAGAAAGAAGTTTTGCAAACAAACAACATCAGCCCAAGAGCCTGGTTAACTGATATTAAAACTTGAACGAATTTTAATCCTGAGAAAAACAGTTATCAAACAATACTTATAGACAGAAAGCTATCAACGTATACGTTTCCTCTTTTTTGTTCCTAAACTTGCTATTCAGGCGCGAAGCTTAATCTAGTCCCAATGAACCCAAAGTTCGAAGTTTTATGAATCGAAGAGAGTCAAAAACTGATCATGGAGCATCTGTTTTTTAACTGAGTGTACTGTCCGCGTGAATAAAACTACAACACTTTTTTGTAAAATTTTTATAAATTGATTGACCTGGCGTCAATTTCTAAATCACAAATTTTTTAAATTAGCGATATTAATCTAATTTATTAAGTTAAATCAAAGAAAAAGATTGTAGATTACCTTTCTTGCCCTTACGGAGTTGGGGTTCTCACTAGGACGCTTTCTACTTGCAACTGAGACAACAACATGGGTCTAATCGACCACATTATAGCTGTTGAAAATTTACTCCGACCATCTTCCCATGGTATTGATTTTTACGAACAAAGTGACCATTTTCCGACTATTGCAATTTTTCGAAGACAATCAAAGGAAAACAAAATTCCAATTTAAAATCGGTTTTGAAAAAAATTCGTTAACTTAAAAAACAAAAAAAGAAAAGCACAAAAAATGGTCGTCGTTTTTGAACAAAATCACCCGCCCCAATCAAATGTGTTTTCAATTTGAGAAAAGAACGCTCAGTTATCAAAAACCACAGTCTTTTGACACAAATCTTTTTCATCATTACAAACTTTTGTAATTGGGTGTAAAAAAAACAAAAATGAAAACAAGACAAAGCGTAAATATTTGATTTCTATGAGCGTTAACAAGCTTCAAAAAATCAAAAACAAATCAAACCAAATCAAGAACGCTATGTAAACGACCCTAAAAGTGTTCACAAAAAGTTAATTGGTTCCGTATTGTGCAAAACTATATTTTTATCAATAAAATAAGGAACCACAAAAAAATCAACCCAAATAAAAAGTCGTAGAAGTTTTTTTCATCATATTGTACACACTCCACAAAATTTCGAACAAGCACAATTACATACTCAGTAATCTTTGCGAACTTGTTTTCCCAGTTATTTTTTTCTCACATCAAGTGGATGTAAAGTTTTGCTGTCAAAGAAATGAAGTCCCTGGGTCCTTCTTCTAGACCACTCAAATATGCTGCGGATGAAATAACACAATCAATTAGTTTTTTAATTAATGGAGAAATTTTTTTTCACATCAACTTAAACTGGCGATCATCTTCCTGTACACAGAAAAAAATGCACTCAGAGTGCATTTAATTAACACCAATTTTGGTCGGGTTAAAAGTATATAAAAAATTAAAAGGATTTCAATTTGTGGAACATATCTTTATCATAAGAAAATTCTTGCTCCAACTCAATTCACTTTTAGAAAAGTTTTTTAGCCATCGATTCTTTGACATAAATGATTGAAACAGTTTGAGCTGAATCTGATAACGTGAAAATGTAATAGCCATATTACTTGTTTTATCGATGGCTTTCAAGTCAATCATCAATTTTCATCATAATCTACAAAATATAGGTTTTGACAGTTCCTCAATTGATCGTATATTTAACTATTTAGCTAATATGTATCAAAAGGCTGTGATAGCTATTGCTGAATCCGATTGGATTGTAGTAAATAGAGGCGTACTGCAAGGAATTTTTCTAGATACTGTTCTTCTCAACTGTTACATTAACGATATGATAATCGCCTCAGATTAACAGTTTATACAAAACGCAAATGATACATTTCTACTCTCGAGCAGACTAAAACTAAGCATTTAAGAACTTGAAGATTCAGCCAGGAAATTACATGATACTTTTTTACAATCTGAAGATCAACCGTTTTTTCAATCTGAAGATATTTGGTAACAAAAACAAAGATCTGTCAGGTTGTCGGACAGTTAATAGAAGAAAGAAAAAAACAATATAATTATTGATAACAATCTGACATATAATTAACCTCCCGAGTCGAGATTTTTCACGTAATTTGAAGCAAGGTTTCAGCGGTTTGAGCGGTTTTTTCAGACCATTACGTTCAAAATCTATCTTTAAAATGAATGGTTTGAGCGGTTTTTGAATAGTTTATCTAAAAAACCGCTCAAAAACCGCGCAAGATTTGAACGGTTATGAGCGGTTTATCTAAAAAAAACACTCAAAAACCGCACAAGATTTGAGCGGTTTATCTAAAAAAAACCGCTCAAAAACCGCTCAAATCTTGCGCGGTTTTTGAGCGTTTTTTTTTTTAGATAAACCGCTCAAAAACCGTTCAAATCTTGCGCGGTTTTTGAGCGGTTTTTCAGATAAACCGCTCAAAACCGTTCAAATCTTGCGCGGTTATTGAGCGGTTTTTTAGATAAACCGTTTAAAAACCGCTCAAACCGCTCATTTAGAAGCAAGATTTTGAGCGTAATTGTCTAAAAAAAACCGCTCAAACCGCTCATTTAGAAGCAAGATTTTGAGCGTAATTGTCTAAAAAAAACCGCTCAAACCGCTCAAATCTTGAGCGGTTTTTTGAGCGTTTTTTTATATATATAGCGTTTTTTTTAGTCTCAGAATTAATTAAAAAAAACTCTAGGATAAGCATTTTTTCATATATGGAAATTGTAGGATAAAATTTTTTCATATATGGAAAATGTAGGATAAACATCGTTTTTGATGAGCAAGGTGCTCTAAATTGAGCAAAAGCACTCTTAATTACTTTTAATTTGATTAAAAACAAACTTTAACATGTTTCTGAACATCTTGCCTTTTATGAAAAAATGGTTATCATACAATTTTCATATATGAAAATTGTATGATAACCATTTTATTAGCTTCAAACTAAATTTTCGTTTTTGATGAGCAATGTGCTTTAAATTGAGCAAAAATACACTTAAATAATATAAAGTTGTTTATAAACAAGTTTTAGCAAGTTTCTGAAAATCTTGCCTTTCATGAAAAAATGATTATCATACAATTTTCATATATGGAAATTCTAGGACAATCATTTTTTTCGAAAAAAAACCTAGTTATTTTTCCTTACCATACCGTTTTATTTGGTACAGATAGCCGGAGAAACTATATTGAATCTTTTTTCAATGGTTTTTTGAAACTGTATGACAATTGTAAGAAAATTGTATGAATATTTAATGATTAGCAATTTTCTATACATTTGATGTAAGAAATTGTAAGATAAGCATTTTCGGTGCGGGGAAATTAAGATAGGCATATGGAGGTCAACCCAGGTAGTATTTCAACTGCATATTAGCGTCACATTACCTTTCCAGGCCTTTTTGTTGGTTTTAATCGGTTTTCTTTATAAGACCGCTCAAAAACCGCTTAAAAACCGCTCAAATCTTGCTTGAAAAACCGTTTAAAAATTAACCGCAAGAAATGAGCGGTTTTTGAGCGGTTTTTTAAACAAGATTTGAGAGGTTTGAGCGGTTTTTCCAAAAAAACTGCCCAAACCGCCCAAACCGCTCAAACCGCTCAAATCTTGCTGGAAAACCGCTCAAACCGCCCATATCTTGAGCGGTTTTTGAGCGGGATCTCGACCCGGGCTGTCAAACAGTTACTCTTAAAAATGGCACAGGGTAATGAAGTCTGTTTTTACGTCAGCGGCTGTATACCGAACAAATAGAAAACCATGCTAATCTGTGCCCAAGAAACAAACTTTTTTATCATTCTTATTCAATTTTTGTTTTTGTTAAAGAGGCGAAGGTGTCCTATTTAGGAGTTGTGTTTCATGTGTCCCTTGGTAGTATTTACGCCCTAATTTTTATCCTATTTTCAACTGCGAATGCGACTAAGAGGATTCGAGAAGAGAAACGGGGGAAGTGGGATTGAGAAAAATTTAAGAACCAAACATCCTTGCAAAAATCCGCCAATATTTTGAATCCATGCACTCGAGTGGAATTTGTTGTTAGACTGAAAACAAAAAAATAGAAAAATATTTATTATTTAACCCAAATTAAAAATCAAATTTTCTACTTGATAATCAAATATAATTTCTCGTCACATAGCAATATATATAAGCAACTCAAATTTCACATTTCATCATTCGAAACTATCATTTTGATAAGCATTTCAAAAAATCAAGATAAGACGGAAAAACTTATTAATGTGACAAATAGAAAGACAAGATTTGTTTTAATTTTAGGACATGAATTGCACAAAGGAGTGGAGCAACACTGAATTCGGCAGATTGCGGCGTCGGCGTAAATGCCGTTGCAGTTCAGCCTCAAGTCACTTCTGGGCTCGTATGCGTGCCTGCCGCTGGAGGGCCCCGAAGCATCTGACGACAAGCACAGAGTGTCCAGCATCCGCTGGACTGCGGCGGCTGCTTGTGCTGCACGGTCGCTAAAATAAATTATCATGCTCTTTTGAAAAATTATTTTGGATATGATTTCGTGTCGACCACTCGAGGATGGAAAGAAGTATGGCGTAGGGTGTTTTTCCTACCCACTTCAGGACCCCAAACAAAATTTATAGCGGGTAAAATGCGGCTTTTTTAAAAAACGTTATTAGTAATTTGGATTCCAAAAAAAATTTATAAAAAAGACAGGGGCAGATTTAGGGGGCGGGGGGGGGGGGACGCCCCCCCCCCTTCAGGGATTCGACCCCCTGCCGACCCAAAGGGTCCCCCCTTTGATACTTTTTAAGAAATCCATTTTTGGCCGACCGACCCTAAAAATTTTCTAAAGGCGCCTTCGGCGCCAATATATACTAATTTTGAGGGGGGAACGCGCGCTGAAAAAACGCAATTTTTCGGTCAAAATTTTCCAAAAAGTGCCTAAAAACGCCTTTTTTGACCTGTTTTTTCAAAATTTTGCCTGCGGCGCAAAAACTTTGGCCAAAATAGGGACAAAATCGTGCTTTGGGAGAGCTCGAAAAATCAATTTGGTCGACCTAAAAAAAAAAAAAGGTCGTCAAAATTTTCGAAAATTTTTTGAAAATCCGCCCCCCCCTCGAGAAAATCCTAGATCCGCCCCTGAAAAAGATATCACTGTCGAGAAAAATTGGTCTGACCAAAATTTTTCAGACCAAATGACCCAAAGTCTATAAATGACCCGAGGAGAAACTTTATTAAACGTTTTTATTTTTTTTAGCTGGTTTATCCTCTTTTGTTTTGTGGATTACTTTAATTCCATCATCGTTGGAATGTGGCGTCCAAACTAATCAAAATTTAAAAATTTAATTTATGCGAAGATCTTTCTGGAAAGAAATTTTCAGATGGCAACAATTAGAAAACTTACAAGCTTGTTGTCGGTGGTGAATAATTAGGCTGAGGCTGATCACTCGCAATGTCAATCATCCGATCTTCCCGACTGTCAGCACTGGGAACCACTGATGTTCCTCCAGAACTGGGATTGTACTGATTGTTGTTGGGGTAGTTGTTCTGGCTGTTGTATGGCGGGGGAGGGGGTTGTCTCTGTATCATATGTTGGTTGGCGGCGGGGGTTATTCGCTGCTCGAGAAGCATCAGGTAGGGGGCAATGAACTCCTCTGCACAGCTACGACGGTGTCCGATTGTAGTTCCATTGGGGCTGATCAAGGTCATCAACTAAAAAATGGACAACTTCTCTTCAACATGAGTTTTTGCTATTTGAAAGTTCAATTCAAAATCACTAGCCAGACTATTAGAAAGTTTTAGTACAGTGCTGATTTAAATTAACCGGACAAAACGAGCTAAACTTCAAATTTGAAACGCGTTTTTCTCAAATTGGGTTGAGTTTAGGTGAAAGTTTATGAAGACAAAAGTTTCTTAAAATTTTACCAGAAATATTATGGTGTAATTTGTTTTACGAAATTCGGGCCCAAAATTTTACCCCAAAAATGGGTCGTTTTGGCTTTTCTCAGTTAATCAAAAATTACGCCAAAAAATACCCAGTCGATCACAGACATAATTATTTTAAAGTGAGCTCCTTACGTAGCTCAACAAACTTTAAGAAGGGTATATTCTCCAAAACAGTGTATAAGTTAATTTATTTTTGTTTAATGGGCAAAAAACGTCGTTTTTACTATAAAAAATACCAACTATTTATTTAAAAACAATTTTTAAACGATTTGCAAACTTTTTTGGAAAATATACACTTCTTAAAGTTTGTTGGGCTACGTAAGGAGCTCACTTTAATTTAATTATGTCTGTGATCGACTGGGTATTTTTTGGCGTAATTTTTGATTAACTGAGAAAAGCCAAAACGACCCATTTTTGGGGTAAAATTTTGGGCCCGAAATTCGTAAAACAAATTATACCATATTGATCCTGCTAAAATTTTAAGAAACTTTTGTCTTCATAAGTTTTTACCTAAAATCAACCCAATTTGAGAAAAACGGATTTGAAATTTCAAGTTTAACGCGTTTTGTCCGGTTAATTGAAATCTGCACTGCAGTGTTCAGTTCGAAATTAAATTATTTTCGCTCATGGCCTTAAAACGAAGTCACGCTAGCTGCAAATTTAACTGCCTCTACGTTTCAAAAATTTTTTTATTAAATTAAACTTCAAAAGTTTGATTTTTTACCACCATTGAAAATTGGGAGGAACTTTGTATTCAGGTAAGTTTTTTTTAAATTTTTTTTTCAACTTTTTTTTGTTTTCCATGCAAAAACAGATATCACAAATATTTATCGGACAGATTCGAATGATATATCATATTATAGCTCTTTTAGTCGTGATTCGAACGATACATTAAAAAAACTCAAAGTTTTTTTCTCTGTGTTGAGAAAAACCGATTTGAGTTTTTGTTGTTTTAGTCTAATTTCGAGCGATTAAAGCGAGCGAGCAGGCATATAATTGGCTTATTTTAGGATCAAGATAAGCTTGCACAAGCCCTGAAAATATATGTTAGCTCTAGCTAAATTAGTTTCACAGCACCATATTGGGATTCAATAAATAAAAAAAATCTGAAAAAAAATCAAAAAAAAAGTTTTAGAAATTTTTAAAAACTTTTTTTTACATTTTTTTTTGTTTTTCTGAGACTAAAAATGTTGTCCATCTTGCCAATTTTTCAATGAGTGTCAAAATTTTCAAAGACTGCTTAAATTTTAGGCTTGTGTCCAATCTTTTTATCAAACGCGCACAAAAAATGTTGTAGTTTTTTTCACGAATATGGTTGGAACCTAACCTACTGTGCTACTTGCACAGCAACCGGCTATTCTTGTCAAGTTTTGTTAATTATTGAATGGAATCTGTAGCTGACTTTCTAGTCTCTAGGAACACATTTTTTTGAGCCACAGTTTAGGAGAAATCACTCTGAGTCAGCGGTATGCTCAGATAGAATTGGCACAATATTTTAGAGCCAATTTGGTGCCTCTTCACAAGACGCCTCGAAAACCTCTGGTATCGTTTATCAAAATTAATAGAGGGATGTTAGACATAAATGCATATGTGAGCTTGAAAAGTTGACTTACCTAATGATCAAACTTGCTTGCTTTAACAAGTCTAGCAGTAATTTAGTTGTTGATCGAATTGTTTTTCTTTGTAATTTAGAGTGTTCCCAATAGAGTTTTTCTTTTTATTTTCTCAGAAGAAAAAAACCTAGAAAAAGCTTATATTTAAAGCAAAAAATGTCAGCCTGAACACACATCATTTATTTATGACATTTTGGATTTGATCGTTTTTCTGTCAGTTTTTTTCATGCTCATAGTTTGAAATCATTTCATGAGGTTTCTTTTTTTTGAGTTAACAATTTTGTCCCTGAAAAATTGTAAAACACATTTTTCCGATACTTACAATGCAGTAATCCAGAATTCCACACTGATAAACACTTTCATCATCTTCCACTGATGATCCTCGGCTGTTGTGATTGGTCGAATCACACACGACGTCTTCAGCCACCGGCGGCACTCCTCCCCTTCCCCTACTCCCCCTCCTAGTCCTGTGGTTCTGATTAGAGTACCCCGATCCACTACCTGCAATCGCACGTAGAACTGAATTTTGACTTTCGTGCGTCAGTTTGACCTTTCCGTCGTGGCATTGGTAACAAGAGACTAGTTTTGCAGTTGAGTGTTGGCCGCGTAACAGGTCAGCGCAGGTCAAAGTCAGGGCGAGGAAGGTCAAAAAGGTTGCTTGAATTGATAAATCGGATGCCATCGTGTCAACTATTTTTGCTACTGATTTCAGCTAGATTTATGGTTACTTAGTAGTCAACCACTTCGCAAAAATTTTCGCCTCACTCATCAACAGATTGCTTCATCTCTGAAATAAACAATAGTTTCAGGTAATAAATATCAAAGTTTAATTACGAGGTAACAAAAGCTATTAGAGGCAATAAAACAGCACTATTGATTCATTTAGTATGCTGGATTAGTTTCTGAGTAATACAATTTTAATCATGTTTATCTCCGGGATTTTTTAATTCTCGTATGATTAAAATGATAAACTATCAAAAAAGAAAGCATTTAATCAAGTATTTGAAGAAACCTCTTTCAGTGGGTCGGTCACACACCTTTTCGAATTAAAGTCATGTATATAAAAAATTCACTTAAAATGAACCAGCAATAAAAACCTATAGTCAAGATAAAATGATGTGTTCTTTTTCAAACTGCACAAAGCCAATTAACATTTTTGTCGCAAAAAAATGATTAAAAAACCATGAAAATCATTAAATTTATCAGGTTTTCTTTGACTTCTGAAAACGATCTTCAGAGCTGACAGACGAATGAAACATAGAAGAGCTCTTTTTGTAATGACGCGATTTGATAAGGAGACAAACGCTCTATTTTTCAGGTTATTCAGCTTAATGCAAGCTATAAAGGGTTTGATGTTTTTTCTTTTTCGGTTATAGGTTGTACTCTTGTTTAATGAACCAAGGTGATACGATACATATACTAATTGAATGATAGACCGCGTCGATTGATCAAAGAGATTGAAAAGTGTTTTTTATCGTATTGTAGATTTCGAATCGTACGATAGAAAGCCATAGGGTGAAATGACACAGGGTTGAAATGGCATAAATCAGATTCCTAAGCTACCAACAAGCTCAGAAATCCCATAATATGCCACAATGTGAATACTAGATACCAAAAGAACGACAAAAAATCAACTATTAATGTCGGTAATTTTTTAGGTCAAAGAATAGATCAGCTCAGTAGCGGATTTAGGGATATGGGGCGGACGCCCTCCTCAGGGATTTAACCCACTGACTACCCAGAGGGACAAAAAACTAGCAGAAATTACAGAAAGAATGTTTAAAATTTATAAATTTGTCTCGTTTTATTTATACCCCCAGGGATGGAGAGGAACCCAAACTACAACAAATAAGCTGTTTTTCAAAAAGACGAAGTTTCAAAGAAATGGCTTTAAAGCTGCAAAGAAAGACTGCTCGTATGAGGGCGAAGCCTTGAATGTTCTGACAGCTTTTCATGGTCTATGGAGTAGTGTTGGCTTTGAAACATATGATATAATTTTCAAATATGAAAAAACGGATTTTTTTTGAAAACAGCCTCTCTCGTTTTGTTAAGTGTAGAATGATATATTTGGAGTTGCAAAGTACTGAATAGATCAAGTAGCATGCCTCATTTTCATTTTGAACTATTGTGAGAAATAAATCGAGCGTAAGCTGTCGTAAATTGGTCAAATAAGCACTGTTTAAACCTCTGAATTTTACAAAAAAAAGATAGCAGGTAATCTATCTTTTTAGATATAAGAGCAGAGAATATCAAAATTTTTCGGCTGATGTAAAAAAACATAGTTAAGAAAGGCTTTTAAAAGTAAAAATGTGTCTGGAGAAAAAAACCACCGCGAGCACAAATATATCTGTCATCCTCTTTTCCTCGAAAGTCGGAACAAAAATGCAAACCACTCAGGAAGTCTATCAGAGACCGATTGTCTGATAGTATTGATCTCATTCAGTCCCACTGAAAAAAATGCGAAGTTTTTTGAAAAAAAATTAACTGTGGTCGGAATATCTTAATTCGATCTGCATAGCAACCCGCTATCCACATTTAACTTACAGTTAATCACTTTCATGTTGCCCTTTATCAAGGTAGTAAGATTTGGACTAAATGTTTTTCCATTTTCAAGCAATCGTTTTTTATTAACTAAAAATACTTTTTTCTCGCTCGCAGAAACTCCTTCTTCAGTTGAAATGTTTTGTTTGGGAAAAAATTTCAAAAACAAGAATGACCATTTGCTATGCAACTAGCACATCTAGTGCCTACTAAAACTACGTTTTGCAAAAGTTTCATGTTTCCTTTCAAAGAAAAACTAAACTCAATTAATTTATGTTGGCTTTTTAGTTTTTGCAAGGGAAAAGAGTGCAGATTTGAGAAACCTAAATTTATTAGTTCGAAACGAAAATTATAACTTGTCTATCAAAATTATTTGCAATTTTCTAAAATTATTTTTGAGTTAGACAACTGAAATAGCATCATTGGAAACTAAAAACCACTAATTTTTACAGAAATTTTTATGTCGATCTCAAAGGTTTTTAAGCCAGTTATATTCTTGCCTCAAAAATTATCTAACTCTTGGTTGAGCAGGGGTTAAAATATGAGTAGGTCAAAATTTGAGTAGGTGTAGAGTTTGAGCAGGCCGTATTTTTGCAAAATTTGCAAAATTTTTATACAGATTATAATCGACTATTTTTTTTGAAAAAAAAGTATTATAATGGATTTTAGTCGATTGCGTGGTCCCCAAAGTGTAATTAGAATCGATTGTGATAGCAAAAATTTTGACCACTAAAATCGGTTATAATGGAAATATTTTTGCGGGTTAGCTTTCCAATGACCAGTTTTGAGTCTTAAAACTCGAAACTTTTGTGTTGTTAACCACAATTTTTCGGGACTAAGAACACATCTCTGACGACGTATAGCTGGTCGACCTAAAACTCCTGAAAATCAATTGTTTTTAAGTTTTAATCCAATTAAATCAATTTGAATAATTTTATTTTCATATTTACCAAATTCAGCCTTTGATCTCAAATAGCTA